GGCTGGTGCACCAGCCTGCGCCGTGGCCTGGCCTGTCTCTCAGGTCCGAACCATCCGGATGGGGCTTTCAGGGCCCCGCCCCGTTTGGCCTGGGTCGGCCTACTCCAGTCCCGCAAGCTCTGCAGGCTAGGCTAGCGGGCAGACCCCAACCCGTCCTGCTGCCTGCCTGCGAAGGATCCCGGGATGGGCAGCGCCACCCGGCCGGCTCCAGAGTCAGCATGGGTAAGGGCGCCTGCCTGCCGTACCAGGGACTTGGGACCCTCACCGGGTTCCCGACCATAGCCCGGCTTAGTGTGTAGATGAACATCTCCCTGGTTGGTTTCCGCTGCGAGTGCACGTAACTTACTGCTCCTTCCTTGAAACTCATGCATAGGTTCTTTTGAGTGCAGAGCAAAATTAGCGAATCGGGCCGATGGGAGGGTTCCGTGTGAGACTTTATCCCTGGCCAGCTTCGGAGGAACTGGACCTGATGCTGGCAGGAGTGCCCGGGGTTGGTAGACCAGCCCACGCCCTTCTCTATCAGTGACAGATCCGACTCTGGGTGGGCTGGTCGCAGTGTTAGTGGAGAAGGGGAAGAAAGAAGCCAAGGAGGTGAATTCGGATGTGTGAGCCTTCTCCGGTACAGCTCACATCTCCTCTCAGTCATAGAATTGCCCCATAAGAGTGGGATGATGGGATTCAATGCCGGGAGAAGTAGAATCCCACCCTGAGGTCCACGAGCCCAGTGCTCAACAGTACTTTGGCTGGAAGGGACCTCTGAGGTGGGGAACATTTGGGTTATAAGGTTCTGATTCAGACTAAGGCCTTTCTACTTTTTTTTTTTTTTTCCGGAGAGGTTTTCGCTATAGGGCACGTGCGCTCGCCAGACAGACAGAGAGAGACATAGAGACAGAAAGCGAAAAATCACCCCCCAGGGGAAATGGGCACGCACGCACACGTGCCCAGCGTGAGTTTTAAGCCACCAGGTCCGGGATGCGAACCGCAGTGGACTATGTGGGAGTCCAGCGACATAGCCATAAAGCTAACTGCTGGTTCCCCAGACTAAGGCCTTTCTGATGCCTGGGTGGCACCTTCACTTGCTTGCTCACTTCCCAAAAGCTGGAGCTGTCTGAACGGGCATGCAGCTGGATGGGCCTTGGGAAATTGTCCTTAATGATGGCATGCGAGACCCCATTTAGTTGTGAGAGAAGGTTGTATCTGACCAGAGAGTAACCATCTTGGCAGGCTTTGTAAAGGTACTTCTGACTGAGTGATGATAGAGAAACCAGTCCAGAAAAGACCCTGGGATTTGTAGAAGAGCCCTGATTTCTCTGATCCACTGCGGCTTCTGAGCCACAGCTGTTACAGGGACTAAAGAAGCAGCTCAGTCTCTGCAGACCTGGCCTCAGCAGCAAACAGAAGACCAGGTCTCTTAGGAGGGCTGAGTTAATCTCATGATGCAGAAAGTCACTGCTTCTGTCCCTCCCCTTCAGTATTTCCCCAGGTCATGTTTTTCTGGTCATTGTGCTCCTGTCTTGGAATTTTTCCTGCAGTTGAATTGCTCTGCCTAGTCATTCTCCCTAGTCAAGAATAGGCAAGGATGTTGCTAAGATCTTAAAAAGGCCTACCTTCTCTCTGGACCCAACTATTTTGGTCCACGTCCTAGCCCATGAACACATACGTGGAAGTCAGGCTCATTCAGCA